AGGTCCCTCTATTTTCAAAAAGACAACACAGGTCCTTACGTTTTGTTGTAATGACTGGAAGGAGACATTTCATCCAATATTTCATCTATAAACATTAATAAATGTATTTTTTTTCCTATTTTTCCAATACCGTTTTTTTCCTGTTTTGCCAATACCTTGTTTTTTCTTTTTTTAAATTTTTTTTATTTCATTTTTTTTAATATAATACAAATAATTTTGAATTTTTATACGATTTTATAGAAGAAATTCTAAAATAACACTTTAAAAAATAGTAACAAAATGAAAGAAAAACAAAGAAATAAAAAAAGGAACGACCTAAGATTTATTACCTTAAAACATTTAGAAAAGAATATGAAAAAATACATTTATTAACGTTTATAGACGAAATATTGGATGAAATGTCCCTTTTTCAGTCATTACAATAAAATGTAAGGACCTCTGATGTCTTCTTGAAAATATAGGGACCTGAGAGTTATTTCAACAAAACTCGCGTCACCCGCGAGTAATTTTCTGAAACTACTCCCTCCGTCCCATAAAGATGGGTACATTTTGACTAAAGTAGAAATTAAAGGAGGGATAATTTTGTGTTGACTTTCCAAAAATACCCTTGATGTGATGGGTAAAAGTATGATGTGATGTATAGATTATTAGGAAAAAAGTATGATGTGATATGTAGAGTTTGAAAAAGTAAGGGGTAAAAGCAGGTTTTTAATAGAATTGTGGGACGCAATTTTTTTGAAACGTATAAATTTTTTTGGGACGGAGGGAGTACATAACAAAAACTTATGAAACAAGATGTGATGAGAACATTTATACTCCCTCCATTTTTGAAAAATCTTTCTCTTATATTTTTTATATTTCCAACAAAATACTTTCACTGTTGAATAAATTGACTAATACATTATATTCAAACAAAGTCATTGCATATATAAGTAAGTTGCATCTTTTTTTCTTCGACTCTAAGAATATATTTGAAAAGTCAAATTTCAAAAAAAAAAAAACAGGAGTATATGCTAAAAGTCAATTTAGGAAGTATTTTAAAAAATGAAGTTTTTATTTTGAAATGAGTGCTGGTGAAACTAAGCAAATAATGAAAAAAAAGTTTGAACGTGTAAATAATACTCCATCCGTCTAAAAAAGAAGGTTACATTTCATTTTTTTCACAATTCATAAAACACTTCTATCAACATCTAAAATATCTAAAATAGTAAAATTGACCACATTTACCCTTTATCGTGGGTAGAAATTGTTTTGAAAGTTTTTTTGGCAAATGCGATGCGCAAAAAATGAAATGTAACTTTCTTTTTGGAACGGAAGGAGTACATAAGAAGAACATTTACGGTTGAAGAAACCTTAAGTACTCGCTCTATTCATAAAATAATTAGAAAGTCTACTTTTATCTCTCACATCCTAGAACTAAATTAGAAAGTCAACTACGAAATACATTTGAAATGAGGATGTAGTTATTTTTATTTAATGATGAATGAAAATAGTTACTCCCTCTGTTCCTAAATATATCTCACATTTGTTTTTTCAGCAGTCGCATGAACTTTTGTTTATCTTTACGTTTTCATTAGTTAATTGATAAAATAAAATATTATTGACACATCTTATATCGAAAAACTTTTCATGTAAATTTTACATGTAAATTGATGTGATCTGATCTAAAGAATCCGATTTGAACTGAATCAATTTGATCTCATTTGAATGGATGAATCTGATCTGAATGGAATTAATTCAAATAATTATTATTATTATATTAAGTATAATTTTTTATTAAATATCATTAATAATTATCATTAATATAACACAATAATAATTTTTATTATTAATAATTATTATTTTAATTACTATTATTATCATTATTAGTTTAATAATTATATTTATTAAAATATTATACTACCTTCGTCCCACTCTCTTTGTCCACTTTTGACTTTTGGAACTGTTCATCTAAGCACTTTGACTCATCAAATTCTTTCAATGTTTAAGCCTAAATATAGTCATGTGTGATCTTGTTTGATTTGTCTTAACATATAGATTATTAATATATAATTTCTATAATTTTTTAATATACAGATTACAAGATAAAATGGATTAAAGAAGTGCATTGGATGGTGTGCAAAAACGTAAGTGGACAAAGAGAGTGGGACGGAGGGAGTAATTAATTATTATTATTGTTACTACTCCCTCCGTCCGGAAATGTTCTTCCTGTGTTGACTTGGCACGCTTATTAAGGAATAGTAAAAAAAATGCAAAATTTCCAAAAATGCACATACTATAAACTTTTAAATCTCCTTTTATTATTAAAAAAGTACTAAAAAAGTAGATTTGTGATATAATAGAAGGGTATTATTGATATTTAGCCTTAAAAAGTATACTAAAAAAGGAAATGTGAAGAACATTTCCGGACGGACCAAAAAGGAAAATGGGAAGAATATTTCTGGACGGATGGAGTAATATTTAGTGTTATGATTATTGATGATGATTATCATTATTAACATCAATGCATGATAATAATAATATTTTATTACGGAGTATTAATTATTTTAATTATTATTATTAATATTACAATAATAATTTTTATTATTATTAATTATAATGGTAATTATTAATTATTATTACTATCAATATTATTTTAATAATTCTATTTATTTTTATTACTATCATCATTATTTTTATTATAAAGTGTTGTGATTAATGATGATGATTATCATTATTAATTATAACTTATTATTAAAATAATAACTATAATGATAATTAATTTAGTATTTATTATTAATAATATTTAAATTATAATTTTATAATTTAAAAAAACCAGTTCGAAAAAAGTTTTTAAAAAACAAAGGAGTATCAAATGACAAAAAAGTTACTCACGCTATCCATAAATTATCGTCATATTTACTATTTCGTCCCGATTCATGTGACATTCAACTTCAATGTCATAGCATGATTCGAGACACATCAAGTTTTTTTGGCAAATGCGATGCGGAAAAAATGAAATGTAACTTTCTTTTTGGAACGGAAGGAATACATAAGAAGAACATTTACGGTTGAAGAAACCTTAAGTACTCGCTCTATTCATAAAATAATTATAAAGTCTACTTTTATCTCTCATATCCTAGAACTAAATTAGAAAGTCAACTACGAAATACATTTGAAATGAGGATGTAGTTATTTTTATTTAATGATGAATGAAAATAGTTACTCCCTCTGTTCCTAAATATATCTCACATTTGTTTTTTCAGCAGTCGCATGAACTTTTGTTTATTCTTACGTTTTCATTAGTTAATTGATAAAATAAAATATTATTGACACATCTTATATCGAAGAACTTTTCATGTAAATTTATTTTTTATTTCTGTAACAATATGTAAATAAAATGAGTTAAAAATTTTGATATTTATCTTGGTAATAGAAATGTGAAATATATTTAAGAAGGGAAGGATGAGTATTGAGTAGAGGGTAGTGTGTGGGGGGGGGATGGATGGGGTGGAGGGGAACGGTCAATAAAAAAGTAGACCGTGTTTTCCGGTGTAGGGACGAATGAGAAAAAGCTGACGGGCATCCACGTGGGCAGGCGTGAGCCGTGGGATGAGCATGCAAGGGCCGCGATTATATGGCGAACTGGAAGACAACTGTAGAAGAGTGGAAAGATTTTCTGCACAATAACCCACAGTTCCCCTGCCCTCCTCCAGACAAACTATAGTTAAGCAGTGACATGTGAGAGAGAGATATCTAGAGAGATAGAGAAAGAAATATAAAACTCACTGTGCTACTTCTACTACTGCCACTGTAGCTTCTGCTTTCTTTCTTTATTTCCATTCTTTTCTTTAAATTAATGAATGAGTGAGTGAATGAATGGGCCGGGGGGAGTTTTTGTTTGTCTTAAATTTGAGGTTTTTAGGTTGCAGCTAGCGCAGGACTTCCATGGCGGCGGCGTAGCAGAGAGATAGAGAGAGAGACTTTAAATGCCACCACCATCAATCCTTCTCCCCTTTACCCTATTCAATAATAACTCTCCCCCAAACCCGGCATAAAAACGACACTACCATTTCCCACTAAACCCCAACCTATTGTACCTAATTACCTACCTTAGCTTTTTCCTCCCCTAATTTTTTCCTACCAAATCCCTTTTTTCTTTTCATTTTATTCTTTTCAAGTATATATACACAATTAACCTTATTAATTAAGTTACCCCTACCCCAAACGTTATATCCCATACGTACACTTTCATTTTGTGTCAGTGTGATACTAAAGTAATGATTCACCGTTCACACAAATACAAAAACGTTAGTGCCAAATTTAATTTTTTAATCGTAGTAACATATTGTATCAGTGTGAACTATCGAAATG